AGATCTCACCAGGTTTAGTCGGACCCAACCAGACATATGTTGATCTCACCAAATCTGATCATTCTTAGTTTGCAAAGTTGAGCAGACATTATGCGTCAGATCTTTCTAGATCTGAGCAGATCTTTCCGGATCTGAGCAGATCTTGACAACGTAGAACTTACAAAAATTTCGTTCTCATCATTATATGGTATTAATTTTTACACCCAATATTGGGCATTACATGAAATATAGATAACTCTGTGAAGGGAGAGTTGTATGTATTTAATTAAATACATATATATTAAATAAAAATCGCATAAAATATATTTGTTCATATATTTATTAACATTTATCATAGACGAATTGTTCGAGATTCCTTTCTGAATCTCGGTCAGTTCGTCACCGGCGTGATGGCAGCATCAGCCGGGTCGGATCGTGCAGCGCCGCAGGAGCGCTGCGCGCGCATGCCCGATCGCGACACGAGGCGACGCGGCGACGGCGCTTCTTCACGTTCGTTACCGGCGCTTTTTGCTCATGGCAACCGTACCTAGTACACGCGTCGTGTAGTGCTTAAGACTTTTAGAGTGCTCTTGTGGACTTTTCTCATCCGAGAACTGACTCAGTGTGAATACGAAGTGAACTCTAATCAGTGCGAATCATCCAGGACCACGGATACAGCATCACCGGCAGCTCAAGCTCACCACGCATCGTACGCCGGCGCCGCGTGGAAACGGCTCACGGGCATCCACATTCACGAGGCCGGCTATCGATTAATATAATCGACCCGTGCAAGTGATTAAGAGACTTCTCATCCCCGTTATATCATAGACTGCTCAAACTGTAAGCTTCTTACATTTATTAAACGGTGACACGGTATTTTACGCAAGCGACCTGAGTTACGATCACGTGATATTCCACCCTCTCACGCGTGCATCCGTTCCCTGAGCCTCTCACCGCAAAGTCCTCTCAACCCTGCTTCCATCCGCAGTGGTACCAGCGAGCTCTCCTAACGAGAATCGCGAACATTTTTTGGTCCTTCGAGCCGGATTGCGACGAGGCTCTCGGACGGATTAGCCCGACCACGCAGTGATCACGTGATCTCACGGCCCTTTCGCGTGATCGGCGGCGCGTACATACACGGTCCCACTCATTGATCGCGTGATCTCACGATTCTCTGGCGTGACAGCTCATCGGTAGAATTCTCAACTCTCCTCGGCGGCGGGACTTCTCACCCCCTCGCTCTCTCACCATGGCGGATGAGACAAAGACGGGCAAGACGGACCGCCCGAAAACCCCGGCGTTGGAGGTGCCGCAGGGAGACCGCGCGTCGGGAAGGACGTCTCCTGCCCGGCTTCCAACGGAGCTCGCGCTAAAAGTGCAGACGCAGATGGGCCGGATTGCTACACTCAGGGAGCTCACCGAATCCCTGCCGGATGTCCCAGCGGAGACATCGCTCGAGGAGGTCTTGCAGTTTCAGCTGCTTGTTGAGGAGACGCACAAGGCGTTCATAAAGGAGCACGCCTATTTCGAGGTGTCATGGCCTACGGCACTTACTCACCATGAGTATTTCGCCGACAACGCTCACCAGGCTGAGTCGCGATGCTACCTACAGGCGCGACGAGTCATCGGCGTGCTTCGTCATACGTTGGCAGCTCAGCCCGCTCAACCGCAGACCAGCTCATCGGCCGGCGAGACCAGACAGACGCTCTCACGCTTGCCGGACATCTCACTCCCCAAGTTCACCGGGGAGTGTGCCGCATGGCCTGCCTTTCGAGATCTCTTCTCAAGCCTGATCATGTCAAACGAGCAGCTCACGAACGTAGAGAGGCTTCACTACCTCCCTCCGTTCGTCGGTGGAAGGCGCGCCAGCTCAGCTGGTATCAGGCTTCTCGATGGCCGGAGACTCGCTCACGCCGTCTTGGGAGTTGCTCAAGGACAGGTATGAAAACAAACGCCTGTTAATTCACGCCTGCCTTGACAAGATTTTTGCCAGCTCAACCTCGGTGCCAAGGAAAGCGGCAGCCTTAGACAGGCTTGTCTCGGGAGTGAAGGAGGCGCTCAAGGGACTGGAGGCCCTCGAGGTTAAGGAACAACTCGGGGACTGCGCTGTGGTGTATCACGTCACGCGACTCCTGGACCGCGTGACACGCGAACAGTGGGAGAACGCTGTTGGCGCCACGCGCGACTATCCCACGTTCGAGAAGCTCGAGGAGTTTTTGACCACTCGAATACGGGCTCTCGAGCGGATAGAAACAACGATGGCTCATCCTGGTCCCAGCTCAGCTTCCTCACCACCAAGGAAGACGGCAGCTCACCAGATGACTCAGCAGGGCGACTCATCCTACCCATGTGACTGCTGCAACGCGCAGCATTTCATCGTCATGTGCGGGAAATTCCGGGAGCTCTCACCATCAGACCGGCAAAAAATGGCCATAAATAAGCGCTTGTGCTTTAATTGCCTGGGGCGGCACAGTGTGCGCGCATGCAAGTTGCAGCGAGGCTGCAAGACCTGCTCAGGGCGGCACCATACGATGCTGCACGGCGCACCTCGAACAACATCGCCAGCTCAGAAATCCGGTGGGTCATCAGCCACGCCCGCAAATTGAGAAGCCGGTGCAGTCGTCGAGACCAGCTCACACGTCCGCTCATCCTGCTCAACTCTACTCGCCACAGCCTTGGCACTGGTCAGCTCATCTTCAACGCATCACTCAGCGCGTCTACTCATTGACGCAGGATCCGAGCTCACCTTCGTCACGGAGAATCTCATTCGGCAGCTCAACATCCCTCGTCAATACTCAGGTATTGTCGTCAATGGAATTGCAGGCAAGGGGTGTACTCGGACACGAGGAGTCGTGTCGCTCACGCTACGCTCGACATATTCCAACGCAACTGCCACAATTCAAGCTCATGTCCTCCGGACAGTTACGTCAATCTTACCATCGTTCGAGGCGGAACCGGAAGAATGGCCGCATCTCAGGAACTTGGCATTAGCCGATCCTGATTTTCTCATCCCGCGGCCCGTTGACATCCTCATCGGCGCAGACGCTTACGGGCAAATCATCAAGCCCAATATCATTCAGCATTCTCCATTCATGCCGATAGCGCAACTCTCCATTTTCGGATGGCTCGTTCTTGGACCAGTCAATAGAGAAGCAACACGCAATCAACGCACCATGCTTCCACTCAAGTCAACGAGGATGCCCTCAACGAATTACTGACAAAATTTTGGGTTCAAGAGGAGGTGCCTACTCACGATGTCAACCAATTCACCCCTGACGAGCAGAGGTGCGAAGAGCACTTCAAGACTACACACTCTCGCGATTCGTCCGGGAGGTACGTCGTCAGGATTCCACTCAAATCACCAGTAGATCTTCTGGGTGATTCTTACCACGTCGCCCATCAGTGCCTCAAAGGACTACGCAGACGATTCTCAAGGGATGTGAACTATCAACGTCTCTATCAACAATTTATGATGGATTACGAGACACTCAACCACATGACGAAGGCATCATCCATCTCCAATCGCCGCTCACACTTCTATCTGCCACATCACGGTGTTCTCAAGCCTGACAGCACAACAAGGCTACGGGTCGTGTTTAATGGCTCCAGCGCATCCACATCAGGCTACTCTGTCAACGACCTCATGTATACTGGAGCGAAATTGCATCTGAACATCTCAGATGTTCTCCTATGGATACGAAGACATCGTCACATTTTCGCTACGGACATCACCAAGATGTACAGGCAGATCAAAATTCACAAAGATGACTGGGAGTTACAGCGGATACTCTGGATGGACGATCAACTCAATGAGGTGCCATACCATCTGACAACAGTTACCTACGGGACAAAGGCCGCGCCGTTCTTGGCCGTAAGGACGCTGTTACAACTAGCAGAGGACGAAGGATATAAATATCCACTGGCTGTGCCATCCATCACTCATGGCAGGTATGTCGATGACATGTTTGGTGCAGATACTATACAACAATTGCAGGAGGTCGCACATCAACTAAAGGGCCTCTGCATGGCGGGCGGCTTCCCACTAGCAAAATGGCAAGCTACTCATCTCGACATACTCAAGACTGTCACCGACAGTGAAGACCAAGGCTTACCAATCACATTCGACGATTGCGCAACCAAGATACTCGGACTTAAATGGCTCCCTCAAGAAGATACCTTCGCATTCTCAACGCGAAGCTCACGCACGGAGGGCAGACTCACAAAACGCCTCGTCTTATCTGAAGTGGCTCAGATATTCGATCCACTTGGCTTTGCATCACCCGTCGTGATCAAGGCCAAAATTCTCTTGCAGGAGCTGTGGCTGCACAAGCTCCAATGGGATGATCCACTGCCATCCCAGCTCTCAGCCCGGTGGCTCTCCATCAGAGAAGAACTCACAAGTCTGGCCAGACTCTCAATACCTCGGTGGCTCAATACATGGAGCGACTCGCAAGTGGAACTTCATGGATTCTCTGATGCTTCTCAATTGGCAATGGCTGCAGTCATACACATATCCGTTCACGACTCAACCGGCGCCACGTTCTCACTTGTGTGCTCCAAGACTAAGGTAGCACCTCTCAATCCCGCGACTGGAACTCACGGCTGCACTACTGCTCTCTCGACTCATGCAATACGTCAAAGCCACTTTGAACATGGACGTAACGGCAACTCATATGTGGACGGACTCTCTAGTGATACTTTCGTGGATCAGATCTCATGCATCACGCTGGAAGGATTTTGTCAGGAACAGGGTGGCTCAAATTCAAGAACTCACTCCAGCTGCTCACTGGAGATACATACCTGGAACTTCCAATCCGGCTGATTGCGCTTCACGACTGCTCAGCTTCAAAACCACGCACTTTGGTGGACGGGACCACCATGGATACTCAGCCCATACTCATGGCCGTCGCAACCTGCACTCTCTGAAGAATTGAGTGCAACCGAAGCTCGCCCAGGCGTTTCGCTATTGACGGTTACGCCAAGGACTGAATATCAATGAGAACTCATCTACAGGTACTCAAGCCTCACTAAACTATTGAGGATTACAGCTCTCTGTTTCAGATTCGTCTCACGGTTGAGGAAAGTCCACGACTCATTGCCTGTCAGACACATCTCTCCAGAGACCTTGGAGAAAGCGAGGCTCTTCTGGATTCAGGCAACTCAAGCAACATACTTCTCGCACGAGCTCAAGGCACTGCAGGCAGACTCCCCGTTGGCAAAGGCGCACGCATTCAACAGATTGACTGCGTACATCGACGCTCAAGGAGTCATTCGCGTCGGCGGACGACTCGCTCACGCAGCTCTCTCACTCGACGCGATACATCCTGTAATATTGCCTCGTCACTCTCAGCTGTCGTCATTGATCATCGCTCACGCTCATCAACGGACACTACATGGAGGCACGCAGCTTACGCTGTCGCACATCCGACAACAATACTGGATTCTCGGCGGGAGGGCTCCTGTCAAGTCTCACATTCTGCGGTGTGTCACGTGTGCTCGGCAGAGGGGGATCCGTGCTCATCAATTGATGGGCCAACTACCTCTCTCTCGAGTTACGCACGACCGTTCACTCATACAGGTGTGGACTACGCAGGGCCGCTCACCGTCAAAACATGGAAAGGAAGAGGTGCCAAAACAACTAAAGGCTGAATTTGCGTCTTCGTCTGCTTTTCAACTTCAGCAGTACACCTAGAGGCGGTTAGTGACTACTCAACGAAGGGATTCATTGCCGCCTATCGACGCTTCTCATCCAGACGCGGCATCGCTCACACCTTACACTCAGACTGCGGCACCAATTTTATCGGCGCGGATACAGCTCTCAAAAGGCTATTTATCCAGAGCACTCAAGACCATCAGCGAGTTTCTCACCTGCTCTCGCAAGATAACACCCGATGGGAATTTAATCCCCCAGCGACACCTCACATGGGAGAAAAATGGGAGGCCGTCGTAAAATCCATCAAGTACCACCTACGGCGGACCATTGGAGAAAGCGTGCTCACCTTTGAGGAGCTCACCACATTGCTCACTCAAATTGAGGCAATTCTCAACTCGCGCCCTCTCGAACCATTGAGTGACGACACAGACGACATCTCAGCACTCACGCTAGGTCACTTCCTCGTAGGAAGTCCGCTCACCGCCATACCAGAGCCCTCACTCACCAACCTGGCAATCTCAAGACTCTCACGATGGCAGCTCATCCAGCAAAAGGCACAACATTTTTGGACACACTGGGCAGCGCATTACCTACAACGACAACAAGCCATCTCGAAGTGGCACCACAGGAACAACGAGATCAAGATCGGATCATTGGTGCTCATCACCGACGAGCGGCTACCGCCATGCAAATGGCCGTTAGCCCGGATCACGGCCCTACATCCTGGGAAGGATGGTCTCGTGCGGGTGGTGACTCTGAAGACATCCACTACCACTCTCATTCGACCAGTGATAAAGCTCTCCGTCCTGCCAATCTCATCATAAGATCAGGGATCATCAACTACGTTGCTGATGGCGGGCGGAATGTTCGAGATTCATTTCTGAATCTCGGTCAGTTCGTCACCGGCGTGATGGCAGCATCAGCCGGGTCGGATCGTGCAGCGCCGCAGGAGCGCTGCGCGCGCATGCCCGATCGCGACTCGAGGCGACGGCGCTTCTTCACGTTCGTTACCGGCGCTTTTTGCTCATGGCAACCGTACCTAGTACACGCGTCGTGTAGTGCTTAAGACTTGTAGAGTGCTCTTGTGGACTTTTCTCATCCGAGAACTGACTCAGTGTGAATACGAAGTGAACTCTTATCAGTGCGAATCATCCAGGACCACGGATACAGCATCACCGGCAGCTCAAGCTCACCACGCATCGCACGCCGGCGCCGCGTGGACACGGCTCACGGGCCACATTCACGAGGCCGGCTATCGATTAATATAATCGACCCGTGCAAGTGATTAAGAGACTTCTCATCCCCGTTATATCATAGACTGCTCAAACTGTAAGCTTCTTACATTTATTAAACGGTGACACGGTATTTTACGCAAGCGACCTGAGTTACGATCACGTGATATTCCACCCTCTCACGCGTGCATCCGTTCCCTGAGCCTCTCACCGCAAAGTCCTCTCAACCCTGCTTCCATCCGCAGTGGTACCAGCGAGCTCTCCTAACGAGAATCGCGAACACGAATATATTTATAGTTATATGTATACAACTATAACCACACAGAACATGACGTCCATTGGACGTCCATATAACCTCCATAGTTCCATGGAACATCTATCTCCATAATGGATGTTGAATAGACCACTAATAGAACTCCATATTATCTCCGCGATAAATATATCGTCTCTAAATCTATTACAGATGTCTAATGGATATCTATGACAGACAATACATGGATAAATATATTTGTATATATATGTTCACGTTTTTACCAAAACAATATTTAATTTTAATATAAATGTTAATTATAATTTTAAAATGTATTGAAAGCCTAGTATATTTAAAAATATGTAATATTATATATTTCAAATAAATGAAATAAAGGGCTCACAAATGGATATAGACGTTTCGGTCCTTATTGGACCATCTTCAGTATAATAAAAAAGAACACAATTTAGAACATATTAAGGGGACACAGGACTCTTTCGGCTGTAAAATGTATGTCTTTTTCATGATTATTTTTGGAAAAGATATACGAGGTCTGTTCAAAAAGTATCGCGAATTTTGTGTTTTTTCAAAAATTATTTATTTATTCATGAATATCTATGTTGTTGCCTTCAAAGTAATCCCCATCAGATATTATACACTTGTGCCAACGTTTTTTCCAATCTTCGAAGCACTTCAAAGAATCCTTTTTTGTGATCTTGTTCAGCTCCTCCTTCGATGCCGTCTTTATCTCCTCAATCGTGGCGTAGCGTCGTCCTTTCATGGGCCTATTCAGTTTCGGGAACAAGAAAAAGTCACAGGGGGCCAGGTCTGGGGAATACGGTGGCTGCGGCATCATTAGCGTGTTGTTTTTGGTCAAAAATTCGCGCACAAGCAACGATGTGTGAGCAGGGGCGTTATCATGGTGCAAAAGCCAATTTTTGTTCTTCCACAAATCCGGGCGTTTCTGGCGGATTGCTTCGCGCAAATTGCGCATAACTTGCAGGTAATATTCCTTATTGACCGTTCTACCCTGTGGCAAGAACTCATGATGCACCACGCCCCTGCAATCGAAGAAAACTTTAAGCAAAACCTTCACATTCGACCGAACTTGGCGCGCTTTGTTCGGTCTTGGCTCGTGCGGCAGCTTCCATTGGGATGATTGAGCTTTGGTTTCCACGTCATAACCATAAACCCATGATTCGTCACCAGTTATGACCCTCTGGAGCAAATTTTGGTCGTCGCGGACAGAGTCCAACAGCTCCGTAGTAATGTTAATGCGATGCTGTTTTTGGTCGAAAGTGAGCAATTTTGGTACGAATTTTGCGGCGACCCGTCTCATGCCCAAATCATTGTTAAAAATAGAATGGCTCGAGCCAATCGATATGTTTAGGTACTCAGCAACTTCTCTAACGGTGATTCGACGATTGGCCAATACTATTTTCTTCACTTCATCAATGTTTTCGTCTGTTATTGACGTGCTCGGGCGTCCGGCACGCTCTTCGTCGTTCACATCTTCTCGGCCCTCTGAGAACATTTTGTACCACCGATAAACGTTGCTTTGGTTCAAGGTAGCTTCACCATATGCCACAGTCAACATTCGGAATGCGTCCGCGCACTTAATTTTGTTTTTCACACAAAATTTGATACATATTCTTTGATCCATTTCTTGGAATAGGCAAAAATCGAAGACGAGCCAAAACACGTCCAAGCAAAATAGCTGTCAAAAATTAACTGAACATTCAAAATGACCGAACTTGTCAGCATGAGTGAGGGACATGAGTACCAACATAACGCCACAAAAAAATCGAAAATCGAATATACGTAGCCCGCGGAAATTCCAAATTCGCGATACTTTTTGAACAGACCTCGTATAAGCTATAAAAATCGGGTTTTTTAATAAATAAATATACATCTTTTTGACTATTATTTACAATTTTATATTTTAAAATTTATTGAAAAATACTCTGTCAACCGTCTCTCGCTTTAGAGAGACCTTGCACGGCATGCAGCGTTTTGCGGTACCAGAGATATCCGAGTTAGATTATTTGAGACAAAAAATTCAAGAAAGACCTAAAAGTATACTAAAAATTGCAGAGTGGCCTTCACTTAGACACAGTACAATTGGACACGCTGCAAATAGACACGGTTCGAATGGACACATTTTAGTATACACGGTTCAATTAGACACAGAAATTTTAGACACAGTGATTTTTGGACACATAGAAAATAAATTTTCGACACGGTGCAATTAGACACGTAAAAATGTACACCGTTCATTTCTACACACAAAAGTTGTACACCGTTCATTTCTACACACAAAAGTTAGTTGTACACCGTTCATTTCTACACACAAAAGTTGTACACCGCTCACTTGTACACCGCTCAGATGTACACCGCTCACTTGTACACCGCTCACTTGTACACCGCTCACTTGTACACCGTGTTTATAACATGAAATTTAAGGCAAACTGTGATTCTAGATGGGTTTCGAGTGTTTATAACATGGAATTTCAAGCAAACTGTGACTCTAGATGAGTCGGGATATTTATATATATTTAACCTGGGTTAACTGTTCTGTAAAGCAGATAATTTTCCATCATTTGTATACGGACTTCGATGGAACGAAGGAATCTTCGAAGGATCGAAGCTTCGAAGGATTTCGAAGGAACAAATTTTTTATTTTTGAACATCGTATAAAAAAAGAATAATGTATTCCGAACCCGTGAACTTACACCGTTCGCGCTATCCCGCTAACGCAGGAATGAGGGCGCTGCGGGTGACCGGTTCGTTGCACGAAATGGGCGCTTGTCGCGATCATGCGCAGTGAGAGGAGAGTCAGGCTGCGAGGCACCTGATGGAAACTTCGATGATTTCCTCCTTGGGCCCGATCTCATCGACCGAGAGGATGTGCGCATAGGATTGTGAAATCCTTTTTCCACTGATTTTCTGCGAGAGGTGCTTTATTACGCGCTAAGAGATACTGTGAGCTTGCTTTTCATACAGCAAGCGCTAGAAGGACCGACGAGGTTAGTTGGCTTGGGATTCGGCTCATCTCATTTAGCCGAAGCCTTGCTTTACGACGGATTCATCCATTGTCATTGAGTCCCGTTACACACCAGATTCTTCTGGACGAGGGAGGTACGCACCCCGCGATTTTATCGGGGGTTAGGTTAGGTTAGGTTAGGTTAGCCAACATTC